TGTAATGAGAAGTGAGTGTGCTAAAAATGATAGTGTCTGGCACAGTAAATTCTCAATTCATACTATTTTATTTTATTATTATCTATTTAAACATTTTCATGTCTTGCTAATGGGTTTCTGCCCTGACAAGTTCACTATGGATTCAGTGTGACCAAAGAAATGACAGTAGAATGTTCTTGGGATGAAAGGGTCATACCCAACTTTATTCCCACTGTGGCAGATCAGTCACTAAAATCCCATTCACTTAGAGCAAGTCTGCATGCAGCAAGGCGGTCTCCACCTCTGGGCCTCTTTGCACAGCTGTCCTCTGGGCTTCTGTCCTTGGCACTGTCACCACTCCAGCCTCAGCTCTGCTCTTCTGAAGCCTTGCAGCTGTGCCACTGTGTTGTCCAGAGCACTGGGCAAGTCTCTTTATAGAGTCAATAACAATGTATTGCCCACACATGTATAGTGAGCTAGCCAGCCGACCAGGGCCAGGTGAGAATCCTGGCCACAGGAACCTTCATTTTATCCATATACTACTATTTTATAATTTGCTTTTAAGCATGTGAAACAGACAGTAACAGGTCTTAAAATAAATTTCTGAACTGCATGATACGTTATAATAAGTAACATACCATGTTATGGCATAACATGATATGTTGGGAATCTGTGTTGGGAATACAAGCGAGGTTCCCTTTCCTGTAACTGCTGTTTCTTAACTCAGAAAAGCTGAGGTGACATGTTTTCTACCACTGTGTCTAAAAATATTAGGGCCGTTTCATTGTAGCTCTTGGTCGGCTCACTTCAAGATTTAGGAAGTGGGGAAGTCACTTCCATCTTTCAACTCCTGCAGTATCTGGAGCTGTGGGTTGAGCATTTATCCACTGTTTTGCATCTTCCTGTGGATGCAGGTCCTGTTTATTGCTGTGCCCCTAGCACCAAACACAGTCTGTGGCACATGGTAGGTGGGCTTCATAGTGTTTTTCTTTTTCTGAATTAATGAGTGGAATGAGGTGTGAGTGGAAGAGGACAGATAAAACTGTTGGGGGAGCATTGTGTATTTCCTCACTCCTTGTCCCCACCACAACAAAGAATTGAAGGGCAGAGACACAGTAGTGAAACAGAGTAAAAGTTTTATTTAAAGTAACTTAAAGAGAGAAGTGCAGCAGGCAACCTCAGCAAGGAGAGGTGCCCTGAAAAGTTTGGAGAAAGAAAGTTTAAGATGAAAAGGTCACATACTTAGAAAGTGTGAGTGACCTCAGGAAGAGGAACACCCCAAAAGGTTGGGGTTCCCCCTTTTAAGGATTCTTTAGGAATGTGACTAAGGTCTGGGGTGCAGACTTGTTAAGTGGTTTTTGAATACTTAGAATTAACATAAGGAAGCTCCTGCTCTGATTTCTCCCTGGGATACCAGGAGTCTTGGTCTGGGAGCAGATCAAACAGGCTGCCTGCCCAGTCCCCAAGGTGGGCTGATTTATTGTCTGTTTTCTAAAGAGTAAGTTAGGAATCTGACATTTCTAACTTCCTGGGTATTAAAATACAATCTTTAAAATGGAATCCTTTCTGCCTTTTACTATGTTGTTTATGGTTGGGCCTGAATGCTAAATTAGTTGCTAGGTTACAAACTACTTAATTAGGGCCAGAAGGAGAAAAAAACAGCATGTAGGTAAAGGTAAAGAAAGTAAGTTGGGCCTGCATGATTACCATAATAAAGACATGGGCTATGCTGAGGTACCTTCCTTTATCTGGGGAATATTCAAACATTCCAGGCCAATTGCTCTTAGCTTTTTGAACTTTAATTGATTAATTTTGGGTCTGTTTTAGTGGACTTTCTGGCCTTTTTTCTTTCCACCTTGCTCATCTAGTTTCCTGCCTAACAAAGCACAAGGCATATTAAGATCAGTTACTCATTCTCTTTGCTAAGACATGTAGCAGGAGGGGGAACCTGTGTGACTGTATGCTTAGAACATGCAGCTTCATGATTCTTCTTGATGAGCCCCAAATCAATATACATGTGACAGCTAAGTCCCAGCTGTGAGGGAGGAGATTCCAGGGGAGAAGGGGATGGATTTAGTATATGCCTCAAACTCTCAGAAGCCAGATGTCTTGCCTTAGGATTTTGGCCCCTGGCAAGTTCACTATGGGCTTAGTGAGACTCAGGAATGACAATGGAACATTCTTGGGGTGAAAGGGTTTATTACCTGGCTTTGTTCTCCCAACAAAGGTCAAGCACTAGAATTAGGTCTGCATCCAACAGTCTGAAGGTCTGTAATCCTCCTCTCTTCCTCCACCCAGAGCACCGGGCATAGCTCTTTATACAGTGACTCAGTCAATAATAGGTCATTGCCTATGGGTGTGGAAGCAGTAGCCTAGCAGCAGGCCAATTACAGTATCAAGTAGTTTGGGGTTAGGTGAACATCCTGGCCAAAGGAACTTCCATTTTCCCCATGCCCCAGACACTGCTTTTCTGCAGGAGAAGATTCCCTTGGATCATTAATATAAGGATGCCATTTATTTAAAGTACAGACATATCTGTTTTGTTTGAGTGCTGCAACAGGTAGTCCACATTCTAATATTTAAGTAACTAGTAGAGCTTAGTGTGTATGGTAGAAAGCATTTTTATTATAGTTACAAAAATAATGCATGCTCACTATAGAAAACTTAGAAAATGAAAGATTGGCCAAAAGAAGCTATTCCACCACCCAGAGCTGATAAAATTTTGGTGGGTATTTTCCTATTTCTTATTTTATTTGCATGCCATTTTTTGGTACCATTAATATACAATTACATTAGCAACATTGTGGTTACAAGATTCTCCCCATTATCAAGTCCCCAACACATACCCCATTACAGTCACTGTCATCAGTGTAGTAAGAATGCATGTCATTTTTATAATATATACATATTACTGCAATGCCTGCTTTAAAAACAGCAATATAGAGTCTTCATTTTCCATGGGACTACATCTTCTTTGCTGACCTTGTTTTAGTGATTGCATTGCTGTGGGGAAAATGGAAGTTCCTGTGGCCAGGATGCTCACCTGACCCTAAACTACTTGATGATGTCATTGGCCTACTCCTGGGCTAGTACTTCCACATCTGTAGGCAATAAGCTATTTGACTGAGTCACTATATAAAGAGCTCTTCCCAGTGCTCTGGGTAAAGGCAGAGACAGAGATGGATTACAGACCTACAGACTGCTGAATGCAGACATAATTCTAGTGCTCAACCTATGGCCGGGAGAATAAAGCTGAATATAAACCCTTTTACCCCAGTAACTTTCTATTGTCGTTTCTCAGTCTCACTGAGTCCTTAGTGAACTTGCCTGAGGTTTTCAGTTGTCTACTGAGAAAAAATGTGGGACTTTTATAGCTGATCTTTTTGTAGCTGATCTTTCTGCATCACATATGACCATTTATATACAATGAACTCATAAGTGGGAATAGAGGATCCAAAGTTATACATTTTAAATCTGATTCTTATTCTCTACTATCACCAAGGGATTACAGGTTTATGAAAACTTTTTCCAGTTAGACAAAAAATATTTTATGTTGTTTGAATTTGCACTTAAAATCATTTTTGATAAGAATTTTCCTTAATCTTTTGTAATTCCTTTTTTTTAAAAATTTCTGGTAGGTCTTTGTTTTATTCTTGATTTGGTAGAACTCTTGAAATTAGCACTATTTTTCCCTTTTCTATCACATATGTGGCAATATTTTCCCAGCTTGTCATTGCCTTTTAATTTTAGTTGATGGTGTTTCTTAGACACAGCTTCCTTGAATTGTTGATACAGTTTTGGTTAGCTTATACTTTTTTTCTCCAACTGCACTTAGTTAGAAATCAACTACTTTAAGTATGAGTTTTTCATCCTTTGATGGTAATTACCTGTAAGAATCCTGCAAAGGCAACTCTCCAACATACAGCTGTGATTCATTTTTACCAGCCTTGCTTTAACCAAATATGCTGAGTCCTGCAAGAAAAGAAGGAGCCAAACAGATTTTAAATGGTTTTCAATAGTCTTTTTGACAAGCCTTTTCTGAAGAGCTCTTTCTCAAGTATCTGTGAAATCAGTCATACCTCTTTTTAATATTCACAGTCAATATCAGCCTGGAATTCAGCTCTGGTTGGTCAAGAGAGTGCTGTCCAATAAAATATAATGTAAACCACATGCACAATTTTAAATTATCTAATAGCTACATTAAATAGAAGAAGAAACAGGTGAAATTAATTAAAAAATATATTGAACTCAACCCAATATATAAAAATGTTATCACTCTAACATGTAATTGTCTTGCCAATGGGTTTCAGCCCTGGGCAAGTTCACTATGGATTCAGTGTGACCAAAGAAATTGACAGCAAAATGTTCTCTGGGGTGAAAGGTTTATACCCAAATTTATTTCCAGGTGGCAGATCAGTCACTAGAATCCCATTCAATCAGAGCGAGTCTGTATGCAGCAAGCCAGTCTCTGCTTTTGGGCCCTTCTGTCTGCACAGCTGTCCCACACAGCCATCCTCTGGGCCTCTGTCCTCAGTGCTGCCACCACTTCAGCCTCTGCTCTGCTCTCCTGCAGCCTTGCAGCCCTGCCACCATGTCACACCCACAGCACTGGGTGGAGCTCTTTTTATAGAGTCAACAACCATGTATTACCCACAGGTGTGCAGTGAGTGAGTCAACCAGGGCCAGGTGAGAATACTAGCCACAGGAACTCTCATTTTATCCACTGTAATAAATATAAAAAATACCATTAATGAGATCTTTTGACCTGTGGCTAGGGGCCATAGTGCTAGGCGGCACAAGCTGAATAATAGCAAATTGGCTATGGGTAAAAAAGCAAAAGCACCAATAAGTTGTAATTAAAACAGAAGCTCACATTAAGGGACCTCATCCCTCTGGAACTCCTAAGGAAGAGAACAGCTGCAGGCCACTTTGTGAAATTTCCTGCTCTTAATATTCTTGTGGATCTGAAGATTTCAGCTTCTCCAAATCTGCACCAATGTGTATGCTTTTATTTTAAGGGTTGGCAGGGATGACACTCAAGCCCTACTCAGAATGGAGCTGAAGCCACTGGAAGCCACTGTTCAGGACATCTGCCATGTCACCAGAGAAGACTGGCTTCTTCAAGAAAAGAAACAGCTGCAGGTAAGCAGGTGGAGGCTATTTAACATTTAGGACAGCACTTTTCTTATCCATTTAAGCTAAATGTAGCAAAGTGGGTCTTTGCTTTGCTTGAGAGTAACAGGGCTCTAACCACACACCTGTGAAGTACAAAAAGAAGAGGTGAGTGGAGATGACTGCAGGGCTGGTAGGAATCTCATTACAAATGAAAGGTTGAAAGCTCAGCACCTGCTTTTGATATTCCTCGTTACCTTTTTTATTATTTTTTCATATTTTATTTTGATGTCATTAACCTACAATTACATGCAGAACATTATGCTTACTAGGCTCTCCCCCTTCACCATGTTCCCCCCACAATCCCCAGTACAGTCACTGTCCATCAGCATAGCAAGATGCTGCAGAAACACTACCTGTCTTCTCTGTGTTGTACAGCCCTCCCCATGTCCCCCCTCACATTATACATGCTAATTGTAATGCATCCTTTCTTTTTCCCTGCCCTTATGCCTCCCTTCCCACCCATCTTCCCCAGTCCCTTTCCCTTTGGTAACTGTTAGTCCATTCTTGGGTTTTGTGATTCTGCTGCTGTTTTGTTCCTTCAGTTTTTCTTTGTTCTTATACTCCACATATGAGTGAAATCATTTGGCACCTGTCTTTCTCCACCTGGCTTATTTCACTGAGCATAATACCCTCCACCTCCATACAGGTTGTTGCAAATGGTAGTATTTGTTTTCTTCTTATAGCTGAATAATATTCCATTGTGTATATGTACCACATCTTCTTTATCTATTCATCTACTGATGGGCAATTAGGTTGCTTGCATTTATTGGCTATTGTAAATAGTGCTGGATTAATATAGGGGTGCATATGCCTTTTTCAAACTGGGCTGCTGCATTCTTAGGGTAAATTCCTAGAAGTGGAATTCCTGGGTCAA